GTCAAACGAGCCATGGAAGATTGGACCTCGTACCCTAATCGATGATTGACGTATAAATGGAACCATCATCATCTTCGACAGCCTCATATTCCTACAAAAGAGGATCCACTCATTTCTTCTTCTTTCTTCTCGTTTCTCTTTTATCCCGAAAATTTTTCAACCGTATTCAATTTACCACGGGTAAACAGCGAATAAAAGAAGAAACCCAAACAATTGTTGCATTCCTGGCTCTACGCGTATACCTGGACGCCTAAACTTCCGGCGAAATCGGTAATAAAAGGAGCGTCGGTCCTCGATGAGAGTAATGATATAAAGCCACCGTGGCTCGTATAACTCGCCCGTAAATTCTCCCCTATGGTCACAGATAGATATGAGAATGGCACGTGTGTCCTCTCGAACCCAATGCCCCGGTACGAATTAACGTGACGATCGAAATAAATTAGTCTTTCAGTGATGAAGTACCCAGGCAATATCGCTCTGAATCAACAATATTATCTCTATGAACAAATTCTTCAAATCGTTTCAGAAACCCTGTTAGGATTGTAGAATGAGCTTATAAAATAAAATGAGATCGACTTCAGATGCTTCCGAAAGGCGATAATGCATTCTTAAGCATCGAACATTAATATCGTATTAGAGCCTACATATTCTTTCTGAAAGTAGAACAGTGAATAATTTATCATGAGATAAGATAGGAAGAGGTTGTTATAAATATTGGGGACGAAAATATAGACGCGAGATTGAAATGTGTGCATAAATGCAATGCATTATAAAAGAAATATTGGAGAATCGTTCGAGGATAAATTTGAATATCTGCGAGGTCAGATAAGAATATTAGACGATCCGATCGAAATAGAATGTCCAAGTTTTGCTTTCTGAGTCACGGGCAGTGTGCGTTGGTCAGCAATTTTATCTGATCTGATATCACCGTTTTCGCTCAGTACGTTTATGCGACTACGTGCTCCAAATTTATTTGCTGCTCAATGCCATTTACGAATTGTATTACAAAGACGTAGCACGAGTACCTCGCAGGGATAAAAGTGGTTCGAATAAACGTCATTATTAAAATGCTCGTGAATAGGCGTTGAAGCGGAATCAGCGGAGCGAGAACGATCATGAATGAGGAAAACGACACGGGGGTAGTCACGATCCACGAAATTCATGGACGCTTGGATCATTGAATCCCCTTAATGAATTTCCGTGCTCAGTTTCAGTCGTTAAGGACAGGATGCGCTTTTACTTATGCCCGTCATTAAAAAGCCGCGCTACGTAGCGCATATAAAAGGGAGAACGTCGTTCGCCTTTTTTTTTCGTCCCCCTCACTTTTTCTTTTTTTCTCTTCTTCGTCTTTTTTTTATTACCGGCTGTGGCCTGTTCCGTGGCTCAGGGCAGATTTATTTCCGACGAGAGGTAGTCGGAAAAATGAGCTCGCAGACAGAGAGATGCAAATGCGCTACTGGTACCCCACCGGCTTGATACGTCGCCGCTAGAAAAATGAATCCTGACTCTATCCTCCGGAAAAAGATTCGCCATGGCTCTTTGAACTGGCCGTCAATCTACCCTCTTTCCTACGTTCAATCAGACCGTATAGAAAATCCAATTTTCTACAGAATGCACCGATAAGAAATTCCGAATTCGGATAGCTAATTCCTGACGTTGCTTCGTCTAAATATACATCGAGCAACCTGCTGCCTTATTACAATTTTAATTAGATTTCCGTGGCACGATGTTTCAGCATAATTATATAGATCATTTCTACGTACATTTTTCCCAAAATTTCCACCTCAGCGTCAGTGGTAATTTTCTCTTCGAACATTCTGCAACCGAGTTTCCTTTTACATGCGAAATATTACAATTGGAAACTTTTAATTAATCCGAGAGTTTACATAGTAGCCACTCTCATCAAAATTATTTCGCGAAATGAAATGAACGAAGCTCGCAATTAAAAACTGAAGGAAATACGTGATGCGAGGCGAGCGTTTTGAAGCAGCACCGACAATGACACGCGAGTGTGCAATAATAAAAATCATTGCTGGGTATTCAAGGTTTACAGGCGACACGTAGTTAGCATCTTCGATGGCGATCGATGAGCACTTAAAAGCTCTCTTTAGGAGCTTTCACGCAGGCCGAAGTATCTGCGTGCGTCCGTAAAATGCCGTGCCGTGTACTCAATCCGGTGACCATTGTTCCTTTTCCTTTTACCTGCTCGCATTGTAAATAAACCCACTAGTATGATAATTTGAGAGTTCTAACGTGAACTATGACGAGCATTTTTGATGGCTGTTAAAAATGTGAAAAGATGTAGAGTCACGTATCTTCGCTTCGCGAAATCATTCGGGATAATTAAGCATCCGGCCTCGAGTCGAATGTTACGTGACTCATTTCAGCTACAAATTAAACGAGCGCTCCGTTTGCTAGTCGTAATGCTTGGTATTGTTTTCCAACGAGGCGTAGTCGTAATTATAGAATTTTTATTAGCAAAGTTGACATTAGAATTTTTATAATCGAAACCTAGCCCAGAGATAAATCGTAAGATACTATCGAGTCTCAATCTCGTTGAAACACGTGAAATTGGCAAAAAATAATTTGTAATCGTGTCGCAGTATAAAGTGCGATTGTGCTTTTCAATTAACGAATGAAATCCAGGTACGGGGCGTTGATTGCGGACATCAAAGCGCGTCAAACGGTATTTCATAAAATCGCGGTAACGCAATACACAGGATCGTTTGCCGGTATCACTTTCCGAATCCGCGGTGCTGGTTTGCGCGTCGATAAATTTCAATTTTTCATTGCTCGTGTTCGACCCTCGACTCCCGATGCCCGTTCAAAGATAAACGATTTATGAAGCCTCGAAGGGGGTAACCTTGAAAAAGTTAGAGTGGAAGCAACAAACTGACCGTCGCGCCGTATCGTCAAGCGCGAAATTTTTCTTTGCCGGTTTCCCTTTCGTTGCATTCTTTTCGCTGTCGATTTCTTTAAACACCGACATCCTCAAGGTGGAGAGATTTCAATGGCGAAGAGAAGTTGCTTGAGAAGTTTGCTGAGAGATTGTAAAAGGAGGCTAACGAAAAGCAAGTACCGCAACTTCCCTTTTTTCTCCCTTCAAACCAATTTTTTCCCCTCGGGATTATAATGAACCCGTCAGTTCCGTGGAAGTTCAAACCAATGTTAATCGAACCGAAAGACGCACCTATTCATTCCTGATTAGTCTCTCCGTATTACGAATTCCTATCTTTAACGACGCGAACAAATTGCTCCATTTGACGATTGTAATATTTTAAGCTGACAACTCTTTGGACCAACGCGGTATTAGGCGATGATTCCTGAACGGTTAGCATCGTTCCGATAGCACGTGTCGCTACCGGTACGCTGTATCTCCCAAGGCGAGGGGAAGGGTTAAAAGCCAAGCTGGAGAGAAATATCTCAGCGGGCGTGACGAGACGTTCGACACGGAGCAAACGCACTCTCTGCTAGCCGTGGGCTTAGCGTGGGCCCGAGACCTTGTCTATTTATAAAACGTACTGTACATATGCACGCACGTGATGATCTTAACGCGTTCACGGTTTCAGCCGATGCCGATCCAGGTAGCGCGGAAAATCGAACCGGCTCTCGATAGTAACTTCATACCGCCTCGCAAGGCTGTCTATTCAACCTCCTCTAACACCTGTCATCGAAATCTATCGGCGTGACTGTGAAACAAAGTTACGAGAGAGAAAATCCATTATATTTTCTCACAATTATTGTCCCACGCTGTTGCGATTTCACTGGGCGTCGTGGGTCTATGAATTATTTTTACGGGGTGTCATTTCACGATGACGAGCAACGATGACCAAGATTATAAACAGCCAGCTTGTTTATTCGCGCAGGTTGAGGCAACCGCGCCGCCGCGGCCGGTCCCGTCATAAATGTAAATTGAATTCCGTCGCATAAATTTTCAGCGCGCTGCACGACGTGCCCAATAAATTCACCGTCCGATACAATCAGTAATATTCTGTAACATCGTCGTCGAACAGATTACGAATATTTTTTTCTATGCACAATTACGAACGGATACCTTAGAATTTTTGCGAATGATTCCTATACTGCCGGATGATAAACAGTTGTAGGAAAAAGTGTTAATAAACAATATTTGTATTTGGTATGGATCGTACACAAGTCTGATAGTAAGATAGTGGAGGTATTACAATAGGGAAGTGAAAGGCGCCGTTAGAACATTCTAAAACTTGTAATGAAGATCACAGTGATTCGGTGGATAATTTCCACGTATCGCTTAGGCCGTACGAGAACGAGGGGACGATGATAGGTCGAAGGGACGACGTAATAATTGATCAAGTTTGGTTATAGCCGTCGGCCAGAGTTGGACTATGGAAACCGTTTCAGCCGGCTCGGCCTACTTAGGCTACCTTGGTATTTTTAGCATTAGGGTCACACCGGCGTACGACCGGCTACCGTTGCCGCGCGCACCATCCTCCTGCCTTGTCTTGCTTTCCTTACTTCCACAACGTTTCAAAAGCAACGGCCTCCTCTCTTTGTCGCGGCTCGCGACGCGACGTGTCGCTTGCGCGTGGGTGATCCGGCGAGTCCCGCGACTAGGAGTTAAGGAGAAGAAAACATTTCGTCTGGAAGAGACCGCGATGCCGTTCAACCTCCCTCGACGCGTCGCGCCGCCTCGTATTCCGAGGATGAAAGTTATTGGATAATTGGACACGAGACGTCGCTCGTTTCTGTCCCGTAAATTCTACCCTCTTTAGGATTCTTTCGCGGTTTTATCGGCTCCTCCGACTGTAATGACGCGTTTCGTGACGTACTTTATGGAACTTACAGTTTCTTGCTTTCTGTCACTGGTAAATACAATTCTAAACACGAAGCTTACGAATTTATGCGTCGAACGTTCTTCGACTAGCACATTCCGATACGTTATCTTTTTTTTTATTTCAAGTACTGCGTTATTTTTCTTTCCCTCTGTTTTCTGACAAAAGACTCTCTCTCTTGTGTTACAGAGTTATCGAAAAATCGCCCGACAGGTCAGTACACCGGACAGTGCACCTGCAGGCTTGGGCAGTCCACAGGCTGGCATAGGCGGGCTGCAGCAGCACCAACAACAACCGCAACAACAAACACAACAAACGCTTCATCAGCCGGATCCCATGCAGCAGTCCAAAGACAATCTGAATCCCGCGGCGAATCAGCAAACCGGGGCGCTTAGGAACGGAAATCCTCCGCCTCCTGTCGTTTCTATGGTGAGTACAAATTCTGTTTTCTCCGCGGCACGAAGTCCTTCGAATAGTGACGTCTGCGTGGAATACATGCGCTCTATGTTGTTCGTATCTCTGAATGAATGTCCGACTATAAATCTTTCGGTTTATAGCGTGTAATATGACGTGGAACACAAATTTTATGGTAGATAAATTTAATCACGGACGATAGTATAAAAGTCAAATAAACCGTATAATTGGTTTCGTTTCGAGGAAAATTTAAAAAGGTCGATTTAATATTTGAAGAGAGGAAGCTCTGAAATGTTGTCTATCGAATAGAACTTGTCGGAAGAAGTAAGCGAAATCTAGTTCCTGCATTAGGGTGATCCGATTGTCTGGCACGATCTCAAATGGAGTTGAAAATCCTCGATGAGATTACCGGCGTCTTGGGTCCCCAAGGATATAGCATCGACCCCTGGTTGCTTAGCCGCTCTGCGTTCGTAATCTGGCACGGTATATCGGCATGTAACACGTAGCACACTTGAGGGAATAAACAGAGTACCCCTATCGGTGTAGCCCCTTAGTGTATTTCGTGTATGCCAATGCTAAACCCAGGCCAAGGACCTTGACCTAGACCATTGCACCTCATTACTTCAATCTGTCTTCACCCTCCGAGGGGATACATTTTGCTACCCGCTATGGATCATCGGGATCGCATTTCACCGGAGCAACCGTGCAATTACGATTTTTATGAAGCTCATATAGTTTTTAGAGCTTTTTATATGAAATCGATGAGGAATTTTCTTCTCGTCTCAAACAATAATTGTTTGCAAATCACCTTTAAAGATGATTTGGTTATACATATCTTAAGAACATTTGAATTTCGATTAACCAAAGAAAAAAAGCATCGACCGGTATAAACTAGTCTATCAATTCTCGAGGAACTTCCTCGACGCGACTGTCGCTTTCAACGTGCCAAGTAGAAGAGGAAAGTCGAGCGGGCCCAAGAAGGAGGATGAAGCGTCTTGGAAGGAATGCGGTTCTCTGCGTTCGTTCCGAACCGCTTCGTGTACGAGTATAATATCTTCTCCCGATCCTCTTTAGCTGAGCAGCGAGGTTACTGGGCAAACCAGTCTGCCCGATCGCACCGTCGACCCTGTTTTCTGCTTAGCTCGCGGCACGTGTGAGCACGTGTGCAAGGATAATGTGCAAAAGTAGGCGCATTTAAATCTGCATCGATGACTAGGTTTCAGCCCTTGGTCATAGACTGTCGTTTATGCAAGTCTGGTACGACTCTGACATCAATTTTCTTCCTTCCTCAAAGGTATCTCATCATTCTTTAAAAAACAACTACTGAGTCCCTCGAACGATCTTAAAATTTACCGCCCCATTACGGTCTCCACGACTGGCAGCTAGAAGTGGACGCTTACTGATAGCACTAAGTATAACGTCCTGTCGAGATATTCTGGCTCCGAATGTTTTATAGACTGAGTGCATTTTGTGATTCGTGCATCTGGGCTGTCTCGTATATTCCTTTCCATCGTAAAAATAGTTATCATGTTTATAAATTATTCTTCTACTTATCTAATAAGGTAAATCTCGTTTCCCATCCCAATCTTCTTAAACTGTCTGACTTTGTTAAATAGAACCATTTTAATATATTTTTAATGTAAAATATATTTTTAATAAAAAACCCTTGATGTCAATTTTAACACTTCCCATAACCAGTTTTCCTAGTTCACTTGAATTAAGGAAATACAACTCTTCATTTTCGTAATTGGGATACTTATCAGGTTTCTTATGGTGTTACGTGGCTTCTCGTAATTGTCGAAAATATCAGAAGGGCTAGAAGGCATCGATAACGGACCTGTGGGAGAGGCAGCATAGAGACAGGTATCGGCACTTTGCACCGCGGCATTTGCACCCTGCGTGCGTCGGTGTGCCAGGCTTGTTCCTCTCCACCCGTCACTCTCCGCCTCCTCTTCTGCCGCCACCTCTTGCTCCTCTCTTGATACTGCTCGCTTTTCCTTCCCCTCTCTGGTTCTCTCTGGGACGTTCCCTACTCTCTCTCTCTCTCTCTCTCCTTCCTTCTCCCCTTTTCTCTCACTCTATCTCTGTTCATCTCTTTCTCTGTCCCTGTCGGAGGGTCGTCTCTCTCGCTAGGTCGGTGGTTCCTGTTCCTGCGGGTATTGATTCGCGTTGGCGGGCGGTCACCGCCCCCATAGTCGCTGTCTGCCGGTAGTCTACCCTTGCCCCGACGTTATGCTGTTATTTCGGCGGCCGATCTCCTCGCAGCCCTTGTCGCTAGGGAAAAAGGCCGCGAAAACGCGACGACCGTCCAGCGCTCGGTACCGGATCGACACGCAACCTCGGTAAGAGCAACGCTCTCCTCTCATCGCGAGCAACCCCTTTCCTCGTTCCCTTTTTCAGTTGCCAACCGACTCGGCCTTTGATCTCGATTAGAAGCATTCTTTCAAAGATCGTTTCTTTGATCCTCTTTTGGGACATGTAATCGACGGGCGATTAAGCATGTTGGGCAATGAAACACGTTATAGTAGAATCAACAATTGGAACTATTATTACAGAGTATGTTTGAAACGAAAATATTTTACACCCTTGCCCAACATGAATCCTTGTTATCCCTGCATGCTGCACAAGTGTATTGAGACGGTCGAACATCGTCGTCGTCGTGCGGTCGAGGGGCTGGAATAGTTGCGGCGAACCGACGCGTCCCTGTCAACAGCGAAGACCGTCAACAAAGTATACACGTATAGCGTGTATATCCGGGCGGCGAACGAACGCGGGAACGCGAACGGAAATGCAGAACGCTGTGAATAAAGGGCCTCGGTTCCGTACGCGGGAACACGTGTTTCTATAGCGGCCGTTATAGTCCCCGGCGGTTATAAGCGGCGAATCGGTCGCCACGTTAATCGCGCGTTTGCCCGCGTTAAACGAGGCTATCTGGAACGCGTAAATGCGGTCAGCCCTGCGATACGGTAATTGGCAATATAGTCACCGATAAAGGAATCAACGTTATAGCTCCGGCCTGCCCGAACGTGGCGAGCGCACAATTATGCAGTAAACCGAAACCGCGAAACGTGGCACGCTCTCGTTGCCGCTCTCCACGAATTGCGTCCGGCCGCGGACGCACGTGCGGTTTTCGCTTTGTCGCGAAACGGCGTCCACGCGGATACCCGCTTTTCGGTCATTACTTGCACCGGTTCGAGCAGATAGAGACTAGGCACCGTAACCAAACGAGAAGCGTGCTATTCCACAGGGATTTAAACGGTACGAGTGTCTTTCGTGCTAATCTATTTATACATATGTATTGATGAAACGAAAGTTTGTGAATAAGTGATTGGAGAACTTTATGATCATTGTAATGGTGATTTTTGATGAGAGATGTGAAAGTTTCAAAAAACCACGTGTCGTTATAGTGAATTGTTCGGGTCGTGTGGGTCGTACGGGGGTATTAATGAAGGACCGTTCTAGTTAGTTATACGAATGTGTAGTATACGAAGTAGAATTAGATAGTCACGTGGGGAAGTGTAATTGGTAATTGACTAACAACAACCGGACATGTTATCTGGAAACTGATTAATCGATGGATAATGGAATACCTACAAGTCTCCTGAGGGTACATACGCCTATCCCAAGATAAATCCACTTTATACATATGATCTATATCTATATATTATATGATCTATATTAGAATCTAATAAGTGGAATATGTAAATGTCTTGCAAAATATATTTTATTTGAATTATCAACTAAATTATTCTGTTAACCGCATTCGGTGAAATTAATTCGAAATTCATGAGCACGCGGAACTAGTCACAAGGGTGAAACAGAGTGTTCGCCCTACCTGAGAGAAAAATCGTGAAAGGTGTAAGCCGCGGCTTTGTTCCACGATTTTTTTCCCTCGTTCCCGTTTCTTTTTTCCCTTCGCGAGATCGTTTGAGGCGCATTGTTTTCGCCGAAAGCGAGCCCGGCCGAGTCGTGAATAAAACCGTCGGCCAAGATGTAGATAGCAGAATACCCGTTCCTGCTGTCCCCCTGCTTACCGATTCCTTTTCGCAAGCTCGACTTAAACGTACCGAAGTGAGCGAACATGTATAAATTTCGCCGACCCTTCCCACTCCAGAAAAAGAAGAACCTCGTTTCTTACACGGTATAAGGAGAAGAACATTTATCAATTAAGATAGTGTTTTAAAAATTATAGTATTTAAACAATTCGCAGACTGTCTTCCCTTATCTATTCACTTGTTCGAACGTGAATTCGAATGGTTTCATTCACAGAAAAATGAGTTCCCTTTCCGTCGAAAAAAACGGTCTACGTATTACTGACTGACAATGAGAGTAGTCGTTCACGTAATCGAGGCCCGATACATAAATAGCATCATAAAAGCAGTTTTACTGCACAAACGGGCTCGTTTTATCGGTTTCTACGGCGTGCACCGCACCGACAACGATCAAACGAGCGGCAAAAAGATGGAAAGAGGTATCAACGGGGGAGGAAAAAGGAAGACGCGGTCGCGACACGTAGAGATACGCGAAAAGCGGCTATCAGTCGGTTGTTGCGCGACAGGGTCGACCGTCGCGTTGGTAAATGAATTTTCGCTGCGCGTGATAGGTACGTGCGCGATCGTCCGCGTGCGCAAGCAACGGAACGCTTAATGAAATAAACATATCGATGCGGGACTGATTGCTGTGGCTAATTCGTCGATAAATTTGCAGCCCCTCTTGTTTGAGTCCTCGGACGATCGAACAACGGTAGGGGGATGAAACGGTAGAGGCGTGCGGTGGCGGGAGGACGAAACGACGGGGGTGAGCGAGAGAACGGCGAAATTAATTTCTGGCTCGATTTTCAAAGCGGTTTAAATTCGCCCCGATTGCTGCTGCGCGTTTCCATCCCGCGCCTACCGAACGTGTAATCGAATATCGGTCGATCCTCTCGTCGACATTAACCCCATCGCGAGCATTTACAGGAGAAACAGGTGTGTACACGGAGTAATTGTTTCATGCAGGAAATTGATACACGTTTCACATTGAAGAGCCATGAAGGGTAGACGAAATAAAACTGTTTGATATAAGAGTGGATTCTTCAAATATTTTTACTACAATATGCAGCGGCGGATAAAATGAATAAAGTGAAATAATACTGCCTAAAGGATTTTGATCGCGGAATGAAAGGGGTAACAGGAAGTGAAGATTCTACGCGTTTTATAAAGTCTTTCATTTGGTTGATTCGTGAAGTGGTCGGTAGCTGGGGAAGGAGAGAAGGATGCGTGTAAAACACGATCCTCGACGCTCTGACGTGAATAAAGGAGGCGTTGTTGCTTCGGACGGGCGCGCACGCCCGTGCCTCCGAAGTGGAAGCTATAATGGGGGTTTAAATTATGTGATGTCTTAGAGGTGTGCTGAACGAGCTCGTTGTACGCGCGTAGCATTGTTCAACCGAACGACTTTATCGTTTCGAAAACGGCCTTTGCTAAATCACGGCTTACACGAACGATTTATGTAAAAACAGTATTACAATAGAGATACGTCGACATACTGTAAATATGTTGCTTAATGGACCACTTAAAGTTATCGTAATTTTTGTAGTTCATACAAATCTTGAAAATGTAGAGAATTTGTTCGTATCCCAAAAGCGTTGTGACTCGATTGGTCTACTTTCCTCTGACAATCATCCTCTGGATAGACCGGGTGTTCCATCACACGAAGAATGCGCGACGTTCCGTGAATCATCGAGAGAAGCCCAGGAACCAGTCGGCGCTGACTGGGCGGCACAAGGCGGAAAAACGAAGGGGAAGAAAAGAAAGAAAGGAGCCGGAAAGGACCGGAAGGGGTCGAGGTCAATGAACAGCTCGCCACGGTGCAGTTCCTTACGGACTGAAAGAGAAGGTCAGAGAGAAAGAGAAAGAGCCGGCGAGCGAACGGGAACGGGAAGGATGAAACGAGGAGGGAGGAGCGCGGCTCCTGAGGGTTATGTTTGGGTGCTGTCGCGGCACATCCCGTTTTATCACGCCTCGGGTTTACGTTGCCCTAGGTCACGATGTCAAGAGAACGGAAGGATTTTCCCCCTGAGAGCGCGACGCCGCCGTGCCGCGGTTGAGACCAGCTCTAGCGCGGAGAGCGAGAGTGAGACGGATCAAAAGAGCGAAGAACGTGGAGATCGACCCTGACAGAGAGGGTACGAGAGTGGTAGAAGAGGAAAGGAGGAAAACACGAAGGAGAAGCCAGGGGAAGCGGCTCTGAGGGATCGCTGACTCGGTTGGCGAGACGCCCGGCTGCTCGATGCTATCAACCTCGACCACAAACACCGATTCACGGCCACTTTGGGGGTTCCCCGGAGTTTCTCCTCTCGTCCGACACCTTTCACACTTCTCCTGGACCACTTCACGCGACCCACTTTTTCAAACGTCCGCCTCGTCGCCGGTGGAGCCTCCCGACATCCTACAGGGCCGAGGGTTCCCTTTCGCACGTTTCCTGCTTTCTTTTATTATCCCCCGTTGCCTTTTTTCGTATTCAAAAAGGACAACACGGAGTCACGGGATACCGAAGCCAATCTTGAAGAACAATCTTTTGAAAGCTTTTATACGAGTGAATATGCAATTGAGATTGAAAAAAGGATAAGACACCAATATTGTGATATGTAATATTGATAGGAATGAATAAATGTCGACTTGTTGCTTTTAGCAAACTAGCTTTCGAGATTTAATTAAATAATTTTTTCATTCAAGAGACGTGTATGATCTCCACGGGACAAATATCGTGAGGACATTTTGGTTCCTTGGTCACGGGCAATGGGATTACCGTCGCAATTCAGTTAATTGAACTGTGCCGCGTAACAAGGGTAATAACCCACAAAATGGTGTGACGCGGCGGCGTGCAACGCCAGATAAACACGAAATATAACACGGGAGGCGACACCCCTGGCACGCGATGCAATTTTTATTCGATCGACTAATATGTTTTCGCGTGAAAATTTCCATGGGACGCGAGAGATTTCATTGCCGTCGACCACAGTACGCGATATTCCGTATGTAATATCACTCCGTCTATTGCGATAATGATGATAAAATTCCAATGCGAAAACGTTTAAAAATTGAATCGTGAAGAATTGGAAATGAACAAACTGAATTAAAAATGTGAACATAGATATCTCCTTATGAATTAATTTGTCTTTAAAATAATCTAGGTATGTATATCTAAGAAAGGAAACGAGAAATTTTTGAACCGCTGGAACGAGCATGTTGAATATTTCATTTGCACGATGATAACTGGGTAGGAAATATCGAGCCAGGGGAACCGAGGGAAGGAGCGCAAAAAATGCGAAAGAAATTCCCGAACTCCGTGAAGAGACATCTTTTATTTAAACGAGTGTCGGTGCGTACTTTGAAATAATCGATCGGGAGGAGAATCGCGGGCCAGGGACGCGGGAGAAAGTGAAATAAAATGACAAAGCTCGTCGGAGGTGTACGGACGAGCAAGCTGATCGTTCGTGCACGCTTGTTATCTTCGTTTTGTACGAAGTTTTATAGTCCGGTTGCGAGTTTGCCAGTCCTTCCCTCCGCACTCCCTTACTCCCACCCGTTACCTTTTTAGCCCTGTCCTTCTCCCTCCTTTTTCTGCAATCTATTTGCGTCAGTTCCCATCCTCGTCTCTCTTTTTATTTCGCTTCTATCTCCGTTTCCTTCTCCCATTCCCTTCCAATGAGCTTTTCCCGTCTTTGTCCGTCCATTCCTTCGCGAGTGGTGCGTCTCGCTCTCCTCGCGAACCTCACGCAGACACACGCGGATCGAAGGTATGTCTCTCCTTCCTTCGAAGCAAAAGCGGTAGTGATAGCAGCGAAACAGAATTTAAACGCTTCAGCTTCAGATTTTAATTTTAATCCGAATATGAAAACTTTAATCAAAGTAAAACTTTGTTCAATGATTTTTATTTGAAAAGCTGACTCCTGGTAATTAAAAATATTTCAGATGCGAGAGAGAATGAACAAAAGTGCATGACGCAATTCTAGGTAGTTCTTCAAACGCTAAGATTCCATTACATTCTTTTACAAAATTATCCGTGAAAATTTGAAACGCACATACAAAGGAAAATCACTCATTCTCGACTAAGAGCTTTAAATTTTCCCAATATCGATTCAAGTATCGACAAATTTCATGCATTCTGCAACGTTTGATCTTTAATTTCGCGTACGAAACATTCATACGGAAATGTATATAAATGGAAAAGAATGAAAGGTTGGCTTGAGTCACGCGAATCGTAGCTCTTTTATAAAAACGAATGCTACATTAGAAAACTCGATAGCAATCTCCACCATAAAAAGATGCGCAAAAATTGAGTGGAAAGCTATGATAAATACTAGCGGACCACGTAAAATCGGCTTTGGAAATGATTAATAGCTTTATTAGTACTCTGTTTGGAGCTGTTTATTTAAGGATGTATTGGCTATACAGTCAATCCCAAAAGTTTATGCACTTTAGAAATGCATTTTTTAAAAAGAAATCAGACGTCGGAAGAACATTGCTAATAATAAACAACAAAAAAAAATTTTCGATTTTTCCGAGATTTTTCCAAGGGGTACCCCTTCAATTTCTTCCAAATTTTCGTTTTTGGCCAATAACTCCCAAACCGTTGGACATAGGGAAAAATTACATACGACCTTTCTTGTAGAGGACGATGAGACCTACAATTTCCATGTAAAAATTTTTCATTAGTGTCAATAGTTAACGAGTAATTTGCAAAAAACTGTTTT